ATGCATGGACTCCAGTGTTTGTGCATGGGCTCCAGTGTTTGTGCTTAGGCTGTACGGCAGTGATAGCCTGTGGATTGATGAGGGTCGGATGCTGATGGTGAGGTTTGCTCTCCCCAGGGAGCAAAAATGCGCCCAAGCCCCTCCAGCCCCCTGTCCCTGAGCAGGAGCAGCAGCAGCAGCAGCAGCAGCAAGCCTTGCAGCAAGATTCAAATTAGGCATTCGTACTGAGAAATTAAGGCCAGCCGTGGGCCATTCGAACCCTTCGAAGTGCCCTTCGAACTGAAATATTAACTCTTGGACATTCAAATTGGGTCGTTCGAACTAAATAAATTAATTATTTTGGGGGGACCCTTCGATTTGGTCGTGTAGCTACGGTACTTTGAAGTGTAAATAAGATTAAGAACATAATTCAAATTAATTTGTTGTGCAACAGGATACACACATGCGTGGTTGGGAGCAGCATGGTAATGTGCATGGTGGGGGAGTTCATTCAAGCACTTCTGCTTTTGTGCACCTACTTTATGATTTGTGCTGCCTGCAGGATTACCTCAGACTGTGCAATAGTATGCGCATGTGCATTGCAGGGGAATCCTCTCAATCATTTTTTACTTCTGATTACATTTTTTTGGTACTGTCTGCAGGATCAATGCAGACTGTGCAGCAGCGTGCATACACGCATGGCTGGGGGATTCCTTTCAAGCGCTTCTGCTTTAGTAAACCCATTTTATGCTTTGTGCTGTCTTCAGGATCACTGTATACTGTGCAGCAGCATGCATGCGTACGTGCCTGGGGGATTCCTTTCATGCGCTTTTGTACACATACTTGATCTTTTGTGCTGTCCTTAATTGATGTAGGGAGGGTTTTTCTGCCTACGTAGCTTTTCTTTCTTTTGTGCTGCCTGCGGTGGTCCTGCAGACAGCACAAGTATGAGATGGGCAAACAAAAGCATGCTTTTGTTGTGCAGCAGTATGCACACGTGCATAGCTGAGGGAGTTCTTTTAAGCGCTTTTGCTTTTGTACACCTATCTTATCTTTTGCGCTGCCCACAGTGGTCCTGCATACGGCACAAAGCATGATACAGGGGGTCAAAAGCAAACCTTTTGTTGTGCAGCAGTATGAGCAGCACCTGCGCTGCAGAGGGACTTTTGAACCGCCTCTGCTTCTATTCACCTTTTTTTTGCTCTGTGCTATTGCAGGATTACGGCGGACTGTGCAGCAGCATGCACGCGTGCGTTGCTGGGGGAGTCCCTGGAGGAGATTGCGCGCGTGCAGGCAGATGCAAATGCCTTTGAGCAGGACAGCTGCTGCATGGTGATGGAGCCCAAGGACCGTGAAGTGCCGCTGGGCGAGGCCATCAAGACACTAAAGCAGGTGTGTGTGTGTGTGTGTGTGTGTGTGTGTGTGTGTGTGTGTGTGTGTGTGTGTGTGTGTGTGTGTGTGTGTGTGTGTGTGTGTGTGNTGTGTGTGTGTGTGTGTGTGTGTGTGTGTGTGTGTGTGTGTGTGTGTGTGTGTGTGTGTGTGTGTGTGTGTGTGTGCGCGCGCGCGCGCGTGTGTACGTGTGAGCGCACATGCTTTTTAGAAATGGACCTGCACATGGTCAAGACTGACTGGCTTATTGAGCCCAGAGAACTGTCAATTTGATGTCTGCTTCCAAGAATTGGCAGCATTTTGACTTTCCAGTTCATGGTCGTTCGATTTTGGTTGTTTGGTGCATTTGTACATCCCTGTGCCTTTGTCGTTGCTCCGGGTCGATGTGAGGCCCTACCAACTCTCATACAAGACCGTGCCTCTAAATGGCATCGAGACACACGTTCTGCATCAACCATGTTTCTTTTGGGTCAAGCCCAGTGTCCTGACTGCTCCCTTGGACATCGATCGCATTCCTTACTTGAGCATTCTATGATGAACCTTAATCGTGGTGATGGTAAATATGATGGTGGTGGTGATGATCATGATCATCCTGATCCATCATTTCCTTGAGTAAATGCAATGTCTGCTGCGTCTTGCATGAGCATCAATGTGATCAATGTGATCAATGCGATTGGATCATGTTGGTAGCACTGCAATTTCGTTCCATTCATCGTTTGCCTTGTAGATATGTCCACACTTACAGGGCTGCGATCCGTCGCATGCTGTGTACATCATTTTCCCGCAGGTAGCAGCCATTCAAGCGCCTTACTGGCCCGTTTTACAAGAGGAGCTTGTGGAGGCACGGTGGAAGGCCCATGAGCAAGCGCTCTTGAATGCAAAGAGGCGCACGTGAGACGCTCATTTGCCTAGCAGTCATGCAATTTGACTGATGGATCCTTGGTTGTAAACCTTAAAAAGCCTTGGAACGCGCGCATCTCACTGGCTGTACTGCAAAGGTTTTTTTTTTTTACAATTCTTTCAAAAGTAAGGTTTTCTCTGCTTCGACATAGCTTGCTTCTCTCACCTGACGTCATTTTCCTTGCCTGTGTTCTGTCAATTTTTTTGGACTGTCAAGTATTTTCCATCTTAATTGCATCTGCACCATTTGAACATCGTTACAGACACTTGGAACTCAATTAAGGCCTCAAGGCCTCCTGTTTCACATCAATTTGCTGTCGTGGTATGGTGATGTCATGGTATGATTTTAAGCCGCTGCCATGTGGCAGGGGACTGAAAATGGGTTTCAGGAGAGAGTTTTAACTCGTCTCTTGGTGCTGGATGTTGTGGCCGCAGTGTTCTTTATGGTATTGAAATTTGGTATTGGTTTGGCCGCTCACAGCTTGTCTGTGTTGGTGAGACTCACTGTTAACAGTGCTGACACACTGACTGTTGGGTCTTTCCTGAATGCATGCTGGAATGACAGCAAAAGCATGGTGGAGCACTAAAAGTGCGCGCTTCTTCAGTAACAGCAATTCCGAGTAAATTGCGCTTCGTTACATAAAATGAATGTGATTTGATGTTCAGCAAGAGGTTGGCTGAGCATGCGGCAAAGCTAGTCCATCAGATTGCTGAAAATCGCCATACGTAAAATATTTTATGCCGCAAAGATTCGAATTTTTTGGAAGGTGCAGGATTACAAGGTAAAAAGGCCTCCAGTCAAAACGACTGACTGCTAGCCCGAAAGGTGCAGGACTACTAAGGGATTACCATGTGGAAACCAAAAATATGACTTTTTTAACCAAGTGCGGAAGTGCATGGAAGTGAAAAATTGTAGCAGCAGCTGAAGGAAAGGAAGAACCACTGGTTGTGCCCTCTTCAGCTGTAACTATAGCAGAAGGTGTAAGAGGTCATGTGTCTTCACATCTTCATGTCACATGAATGGCACGGTGCCTGCTGTTACACTGCTGCAGGTGCTGTTGCAGGCAGCTTACACGTGTAGTGACACCTCACAATTTTTGAGCTCAGGGGCAAATAGAGGATGACTGCCCCTGCGGGAATGCGTGGAACACCAACAGATGAGTATTGAGGAAGATGCGGGGTTGGGGTCGGAATAGCAGAAAATGTATTTTTTTCTAGGGGTGCAGCAGGAGGGAGGAGAAATTTTTTCCTTGGAAGGCACGTGTAAATTTTGGGCTGGACCCCCCTGACCCACCCACCCACCCCAAAACCCCCCTTCCAGTCCCCCAATCCAGACAAAAAGGGTACCAATCTGCTCCTCTTTAAATTTTCTATCTATCTGCATATTCACCACACTGAAAAGTTGAGTCGCAACAAAGTTATGGGGCAAAAACTAAGCGGCGGACGCTCATGCACACCTGCCCTTACAGGCACCCACAACTGGCTTGCAGTCAACAATTGCCCTCCTAAGTTCATCATGCAAGAATACATCATGCAATGCCAACATCCTGGAAGTTTGGATTGATTTGCTGCATGTTTGCCTCCACACCCCCTGCTGCCCACACCCTTGCGCGCATGGCACTGACTCCCAGCCATGCACACAGACCCCCCCTTAACCCAATTTTCACGAAAAGGATGCCAATCGATAGTTCTTGAGCTCAGGAATCCGATGATATGTTTAAAATCCTGCAGAGGTGGCCCAGAAAAATTCTGGAGATGGGGTCCCAAAATGTCCAGACCCCCCTCGACCACCCACCCCCACTCCGATTCGGCTCATATATAAATCAATCGATAGCTCTTGATCTGAGGATTCCAAATATATAGTTTTTAAATGGATTGAGACGTGCCGTCCAAAAGTAACACGAACCCTTCCCTCCTGGGTGCAAAATGGTTTTCTCTGTGTGAAAGGAGGCAGAGAAAGGATGCATGAACTTGTAAGGAAGCAAGGAAAAGGTTACTTACCAAGTAGCTGCACCTGCTAGTAGCTGCACCATCCTGGGGGCCAAGCTGTGCTGAAGCGAAAGAATCTGCGCTGTAACAAGACCAACTTCAAAATTGTAAGGAAACGCTGGAAAAGCAAGGACAAAGGAAAATGGCAAGGTTGTTGCATGTTTTTTGTGTGCAAGCCTCCTAATCCACGCAGACAACATGAATATGCATCTCTTTCTAGTGGGACGGCTCAGCTCCCTGGGTGTGAGTATGGAATCCCATGCCTGCAACGTGTGTAGTATTGTTGATGAATTAAATTCTAAGCGAGCAAATCTAGTCCTGAAGCATCACGGGTTGGAACAACCTTGATGCAAACACCGTGTTGAACCCCAACAAACTCGAGTCACGACCTTCCGTGGATAATGATCCAACAGCTCCCAACACTGTACAGCGTGGGGGAGAGTCATTTGCCTGCCAGTCCTGCCTGGGTGTGGGGATCCAAAACCTAAGCAAGCTTGGGTCAAAACTTTGACCAAAATTTTGGAGAAGAAGGCCGCTCCTCTAAGCCATCCCTCCACGCCAGCACCTGGCGCCTGCCAAACAGGCTGCTGGTAGGCCCAGATGTGCTGTAACCCAGAAGGTTCCCGCCAACCATCGCCATGTTGCAGCAGTGGTGATAGTGAGTCGAGTGTAGTTGGGTTCCAAGAAGGCAGGCGTGCAGTGGGCATGGATCCCTGGGACAAGGGAAAGAAAAGGGGTGTTTTTGCTGCCTACGGGATTTGAACCTGTGTTACAAGCGCCACAAGCTTGGGTCCTGACCACTCTGTACAGACAAAGGCTGCTCTTCTGAGCTGTCAGCTAGCTCAGAAGGAAAAATCTCCCCTACGCAGTTTAGTTGGTGTGGCCCTTCTCATGTATTCTTTTGAAAAGGAAAAAGGAGATAAAAGCATTCGCAGGCCAGAGGCTGCGTGCATTGAGGGAAGGTCCCCAAACTAACAGGGTAGCAAAAATGAAATATCAAACCTACCTTGAGCAAATAAAAAGGCAAATGAAAAGCACTGTAATGATGATGTCAAAAAGCCAAAGATCATTGTTCGAGATTGTTGCATGTAGGTTTTCAATGCTGCTCCTTCTGCACATCACACAAAACTCACTGCAAAGATACAAGAATGAAAATTACAAGTTTATACCACCAAAGGGAAAGACAAACTTAAGTTTTTCCCGCTGAAAGAGTTTACAAACTCGCTTGAGCAAGTAGTAAATTCTTCAAAACGCTCTTAAACATTAATCAAATTTAGCTTTTAGACTAACAGAAGGCTAGGAACAAAGCTTCCTTGTAGGAATCTGCTGGAACACATCATCCTGCTCTGAAATCATACTGTCACGGCTTAAGGTACAGACTTCTAGTAGCGCTGATGATGCGCTTGGGGATGAATTTTAAAAAGAAGGAAGCATGGCACGTGTGTAATCTATGATGGTACGGCCTGCAAGGTATGAAATGCGAAAGTTTCCTTTCAATCTTGTTTGTGACAACAACAATGGTCTACAATGAGTTGCATAAAGGAAAGTGGTACAGGACAAGTTGTTTGCAAAAAAGTGTACTTGTATAGCCCCCCCTTTCGCGCATCTGTGTTTGTGGGGGGGTGAGGGGGGGGGGAGAGGCGGGTGGGTGGGTGTCTGTGTTTGCAGGCCATCAAACTTCTAACCCAGCCCTTTTCATGAATTCCAGCACGAATTGTGCGGTAGCGCAAACATACTGGTGCCGCCTCCACCAATTCCCAAAGGCTAATTGATTATGACCATATGCAACTGGCTCTTCGGCATTTGCAAAAAATCTACAACCAGCTACCACACCCAGAGTGTGTTTTGTGTGGGTCAATACCAGCTATCAAACTCTAAGTGTGCTATGCCATACCTTGGACGAATTTGAGCAAGTCCGTCAAGGGTTCTTCAATACTTTACTGCCGATGGCACAAAGCCCCTTGCATCTGAGGCTGAATCAATTCCAAACTTTCAGGAGCACTCTGCATCACATGCAGATAAGGTAGAATGCCACCTCCTACCTTGCAATTTTGGCGTGAAATGGCAGCCCTGCTTGTAGCTAGGGCCTGGGCAGCATACTCAGAGGAGATATACAAGCCTGCCTTAACTGCCTGCATGCAGGATTGATGTGACACAGGCGGCTGAAAAATCCAATACCAGCAATATCAAGCAATTCCTCTAACTCTTGACTTTGACTCCTTGGAGATGTGTCACAATGATAATCAATTTGCAAATGAGCAGTTAAGAATGGAATCCACACACGAAGTACAGTTCAGAGGCCTCTTCAATTACAAACAGATGAGATCTTTGATACAAACAGGATTATAGGAGGAACTGAGCGCTCTTGTCAATACTGGGGCATTTGGGTACTTATCAGAGTTCAACGGAGAAGCAATCAAACTCACAGGGTGCTGCTTGTTACTGTCAGTGCGTGCAAGTGGGTGTGAGGGGTTCAGGGACAGACCATGTGCATGCAGCCCGGCAAGGTCCACAACTATCACAGCAGCGCGGTAGCTGGCTTGACCAATGGGCGATGCACCATTGCCACACATTATATTAAGTGTGTGGTCAGGCAACATCCCCTTGCGGATGTGTGGGCGCCCTAGGTTGTGTACAGTTGCCTCCTTCTCAGCCAGCTTGGCAATGCACACATGTAGGAACTGTATGAGGACTGCCGCCCTGATCACCGCCCTCAGCAATCACGGCTCTGATCTTCTCTGCCAGAAAAAGGAGAATGGTACACCTGAAAGCATGTAAGGGCTTCAATCACAAACCAGCTCCCATATTCTGCCTACATGATGAGGAGAAATTGTTGCACTCATCACAAACCATCTTTGTCAATCCATTGAATTGCAGCAGCAAGTGAATTTGAGCGTATGGAATTGATGCTCCAGGCAACGATTCGCAAAAAGCAGGCTGTTCCAAAATCAATCCTTCATTATTTTTTCAGTATTTCCTGCATATGAGTTCATGGCCTCAGAAACCATACACCATACTTTTGCACCGTACCTGCCAGAGGGATGCCATCATCCCTTCGAATGATTTTGCGCTTGCGCTGGTAGCCCTCACCACCACACTCACCCTGGATTCCCCTGTAGGAATTGCCCTGTACACACAAGAAAACAGGCTTCAAGTTACAACCAAAGAAGGCTTTTGCCTTTCAATTTTCATGGCAGCAATCCCAAACTTCTCCATTTCGGGGCAGAATTTTTCCTGGCTACTAGCACATGTAGACCTGAATTGATAAGGTCTTTCTTCTATGCATTTTGCAGCTTTTTGAGATGATACATTGACCCAAGGACATGTCAATTTCCCATGAGGGTCTTTGGTCCTTCATGATCAAAAACACAAGCGAAAAAGCTGGGGCTCCTACAACAGAGACAAGCAAGCAAATTCTACAGGGAGGGAGACATGGGGAGGCAGGCAAAGTCCACAAGGAAGGACAAACATGAAGGCAAGTAAAGTCCACAAAGGAGAAAAGCAAAGTTCTAAAAGGAAAAGCTCAGCTTTTGATGAAGGCAACTTTCCCAGCAAGCAAAGGCTCAAAGGCCAAGAAGCATTTTTTTGCTCACTTGCCAAGCAGTGCATACCAACATTTCATGTTTCTGCTGCGAGGTAGACTGCTTGAAGAGTGAAACAAATTGTAAAGAATAGAGAGCTGACCTACCCTTGAAATATCACAGCCACATCTTTAAGAATTGAGGGTGCACATTCTTGGAACTGAAAATACCAAGAAGACACCTTGTCCTGATCAAGTCATTACAGAAACTTACGTCTAAGTACTCTGCAGAGAATTAAAAATGCCTGTCATAAATCCCGCTTGAAAAGTGGCTGCCTACACATTTTGGCAAGGCATGCAGATACGGCAATGACAAGTCTTTTTGGATAAGCTCACGCTACAGGTAAGTTATAGGTTTAGCATGAAGAAGCTCACACTACAAGATTAAAGATAAGCTCACTAAATACAGAATCAATCCATCAATTCATCTCACACATTACCATAATGTCAGTCAAGTTCAGAGGATCGGAGTGGCAGCAGCAGGGAAAGAAGGAAAAAAAGGAAAGTTTTGCGCAAGCCAGAAGCTACGTGCATGGAGGGAAGGTTCTCCAATTGTGGTCTCAGAGGCTTCACCAGTGGGCCCTACAGACCTACATTAGACACAGCTTGCCTAGGAGAGAGCAGCAAACAGAGCTAGTGAACAGCAGGAGGGCTCAGGAAGGCTCAGGTTGGGAACTCTATGGGTCTCATACACAAGGAAAACACTAAGGTATGAAAATATACCAGGCAGCCAAAGTTTAGCTCCCGAGCCTGCTAGATGACGCTGTTCATTTTGTCGGGCATCAAGGCACGCATATTCTGCAAAAGACAAGAAGTTGCACATTAAACTGCTTCAAAGCAAAGCTGGAGGCAGAGGGATTTGATGCATCGTCTTAAAGCACACCTTTTCCTTGAAGAATAGCCGCCTTAGGTATTACTGCTTAGGATTGCAAACAAAACACATATTGCCTGTTTACTGTTCTTAGGAGCCGCACAGGTTGTCTTACATCTGGGTTAAAACACCTCTTTTCCTTTTTGATGTTGAGCTTTGACTAAACCTCCCATGCAAGGTCAGCTATGTGCATGTACAGACAAGCGTGCTCGCATTTGTTTCCTCCTTTCATGTACTTGGGCCTTGTGTGCCCAAAATTAGATTAATTTAAAAGGGACATTGCAATGTTCCTAAAATGAACCTGTGTGAACAATAACAATAATACAACAACAACAACAACAACAACAACAATAACAACAACAACAACAACAACAACAACAACAACAACAACAACAACAACAACAACAACAACAGCAGCAGCAGCAGCAACAACAACAACAACAACAGGTTTGTACAAAAACAAGTGGATGATGTCAAGTGCACTAATTTGAATAGCCAGTCCCACCTTCACCACAGAAGTGCTGCCAACGTCACCAATGCTCAGCAGCAGTGCAACCATTGCCTCCTGCGCTCTGTTGCGCTCGTAGCGCAGCTTTGCATAGGTAAATTCATGAGCCTCCTTCACTTCCTTGCAGACATGCTCCCTCGCTGCACCGAGCAACTCATAGAGGTCATGGGCTATGCTCCCTGAGAAAGTGGCATACAAGTGTGATAGGGGACCCCTGTCACAACCAGTGCCAACATGCCTGCCTCACTAAATGGTGACTCTTAGAAACTCAAAGCTATCTGTCAAAGAACTGTACAGACCAGTTAGGGATGGATCATTTTTGAAACCTGAAAGCTTTTTCCAAGTGCCAAGCAGCAGCAGACTTGGTTCTCAATTGTGTCACTCCAGCTTCTTGCCTGGCTTTGCTTTGCAGAGAGCATCGCTGCGGTCCTGCAAGCACTTCGTCCACCAAAACACAAATGTGGCCCAGGCATCTGTTCCTACCTCGAGCCTGATGCGCTCCAGCAGGCCATAGCTAAATGTGCCATTGATGAACAAATTTGGGAGCTCCAGGTGGGGCTCCACCAAAGCCAGATCTCCATTGTCCAGCCCCTCCTTAACAAGGCGGTCATACTCAGCCTGGAATCAACACATACAAGGTTGCCCAGTTCAGATTGAATGTGGGCTTTCCTGCTTGCACTTTGGTTGCTCCTGGCCTGATCATGAACATTCATGGAGACAAAAGGCTGAAGGATTGAAGCACACATTAAAATTGGTCCAAATCTACTGAACTGAATACAAGGTTGCAAGGTTACAAGGTTACAAGGTAACAAGGCCTACAGTCAAATTTACTGAACTGAATACTGGGTGGGACAAGATAACA